TGAGAAGGGATGGACCTTAATTCCACTCTGTAGTTGCCCATGTTGAGACATGCCAAGTTGGTGTGGGTCTCTGTGTAGGGGTTTTCCCTTATAGATGAAAGGGTAGCTTTCCTGCTCCTTCAGATAAGGGGACAGGCTCTGATGCACCAATCAGCAGTTCAGAGTACCTAGCCTTCTAGGAGTCATTAGAGGGGGTGCTGGAAGGTGCTTCAGCTGGTAACTTCTTTGTTCTACTGGGGGACTTCAATGTCCATGTGGGTAATAACAGTGTGACCTGGAGGGGCATGAATGGGAGAAATAACCTCTCTGACCTAAACCCAAGCAGTGTTCTGTTGTTGGACTTTTGTGTTAGTCACAGTTTGCCCATCACAAACATATATTCAAACATAACGGTGTCCATAAGTGCACATGGCACCAGGACACCCAAGTGTGCAGATTGATAATTGACTTTGTAGTTGTGTCAAATGATTTGTAGCTATATATTTTGGACACCCAGGTGAAGAGATGAGCTGAGCCATCAACTGATCACCACCTGGTGGTGAGTTGGACCAGATGGCAGGAGAAGATGCTGGACAGATCTGGTAAACCCAAATGTGTAGTGAGGGTTTGCTGGGAACACATGCCAGAAAAATGCATCAGAAATGTCTTAAACTCACCCCTCTGAGAGAACTTTAACCATATCCTTGCTTAACCAGGGAATATTAGGTCTAAGTGGGCCATTGTCGAGGTGCCTGCCATGAGCTGTGGTCACAAGGTTGTCAGGGCTTCTCATGGTAACCAATCTTTTATTCAGTGGTAAACACCTTGGCTTAGAGAGGCTGTCAAGCTGAAGGAATCCTATCAGGCCTTGTTGGCTGGTAGGACTCCAAAGGCAGCTGAGGAGTATCAGAAAATCAAGCAGGTTGCAGCCCAGGCTATTGCTGAGGCAGCAACAGAGGTGGGAGTAGTTCAGTGAGACCTTAGATAGACTCTCAATCAGCTCAAAGGAAATTCTGGCAAACCATCAGTTGGCCAAGGCAGGGAAAGAAGTAATTTACCTACACTACATTTAGGGAAGGTGGTGTGCTGTTGACCTCGATCAGTGATGTCATCGGGAAGTGGAAGGAATAATTTTCCAATTTTCTCAATCCCACTAGCACGTCTTCCATGGGGGAAGCTGAGTCGATGCTTCGGGGTTGGTCTGTCCATAACTAGAGATGAGGTCATCAACGTAGTTAAAACATTCCATGCTGGCAGGGCTCCAGGGATGGATGGGTTCTGCCCTGAGTTCTTCAAGGCTGTTGATGTTGCAGGGCTGTCTTGGTTGACACACATTTGCAACATCGCATGGACATCGGGGGCAGTGCCACTGGATTGGTGGTTTCCCTCTTTAAAAATGGGGACTGAAGGGGGAGTTCCATTTATAGGTGCATCACTCTCCTTAGCCTCCTTGGTAAGGTCTATTCGAGGGTACTGGAGAAGTGAGTCCAATAAATGACCAATTTGATTCAGAAGGAACAATGCAGATTTCATCCTGGCCATGGAACACTGGACCAGTTCTTTACCTTCACTAGGGTCCTCAAGGGGTATGGGAGTTTGCCTATTCAGTCTACATGTGTTTTGTGGACTTGGAGAAGGCATTTGATCATGTTGCTCAAGGTACACTGTGGGGGGTGCTCTGTAGATATGGAATTTGGAATCTGTTGCTTCGAGTCATTCAGTCCCGATGGAAAGAGTACGAGAATTTGGTTTGCATTGCCAACAGTAATTAGATGCCTTTAGGAGTACAAGTTAGATACAGCCATGGCTGCCAGTGTCATAGATTCTGTTCAGGAGTTTCGTAGACAGAATTTTTCAGTACAGCCAGGGAGTAGAAAGATTCTGGTTTGGTGTTCTCAGAATTCCTTCTCTATTATTTTCTAATGATGTGGTCCTGTTGGCATCATCATGCCATGATCTTCAGCTCTCACTGGTGCCAATTGGAGCTGAATGTGAAGCAACTGGGATGAGGATCAGCACCTCCAAGTCTGAGGCCATAGTCCTCAGTTGGAAAAGGGCCCTCTCTGAGTTGGGATTGTGGTTATGGTACCGGTCAGTCTATGTACATACCCTCATCTAAGGCAACAAATTCTAGATAGTAACCGAAAGAACCAGATTGAGGATATGAGCAGTCAAAGGGAGTTTTCTCCACAGGGCAGCTGGACTCTCCAGTAGAGATAAGGTGAGAAGTTCAGTCATGTGGGAGAGACTCGGAGTAGAGCTGCTGCTTCTGTGACTGCAAAACAAGTCCAAAATCATTAACCTTCTATCACGGTGGTGACAGTTGGTAGAAGGTGTTTTGTTTTCACCTAACATGGTGTTGAATAAAATGTCAAAAACATCTCATGTTTGGTTTCATCTGTCCAAAGGACGTTCAGAAGTCTTGTGATTCATTCAAATGCAGTTTTGCTAATCTGAGATGAGGTACTTGGGTTTTTTCTCTTTCTAAGTATTTGGGCTGAATTTGTTGCGACATTCTCTCCTTGGAATACTGGCAGCTGTATTTGATGTTTTCCTCTTTTAAATGTTTGTACACTGTAAATGATGATGGCCTTGTACATTACACCTAAAATCTTTCTTTCACTCATGATTGTCCAATTGGCATTTAGGATTTGTTGACATTCCTTTCTTTAGTTCTAACTATTAGTTTATGCTACATATACAGAAAAGTGCTCCCTAAGAAGATTTACTCATAGTTTACATAAATTGTGTTTATAATTTCCTCCTTACAGAGAACTGCAGGTAATACGAGTGCAATTATATTTATGTGTGACTTGTGTTTTTGTTGTAAATCTTCTAGCTGTGTCACTGTCTCAAATATGGACGCTGGACCGTCAGACCTTCCAGTCCATTATGATGCGGACCGCACAAGCCAGACATGAGGAGTACTTTAGCTTTTTACGCAGGTATTTAACAGCAAGCAGTAACTGTTGTCATTGACTCTTTTAGGCAGTAAATGACAGATATTATACAATACATCTTCATCAATACAGGGTTACACGAGACATCACCTACTTACTTATAAGAAAGAATGTAAACAGTTAATGCCATAACCTTATATAAAAGATGAAAAATAAATAAAATAGTCTTATTACTTATGTTCAGTGTGTGTGTGTGAGTGTGTGTGTGTGGTGGTGGTGGTGGTGGTGGTGGGTGGGGGGGGGGGGGGGGGGGGCTGCAGTAGCTCAGTGATTAAGTACCACTGCCTTGCAATCCTGATTGTATCAGTTCAAGTCCAGGTTGCATCAAAAAGGGCAGCTGATGTAAAGCAATTGCCAAATATTTCATGAAATTTTACTTGAGGCAATGGCTGAAGAATACAGCAACTAAAAGAAACGTACCTATTTATTGTATGCTCAGTACGTAATTTGATCATTTTATGAAAAAGGGTTAAAACATTATATTTATCAGTGTGTGCAACATTATTAGATGCATCAAATTGCTAAATGTCATTACTGTCAAATTTGAGTGAACTGCCCTTGCAAACATGTTGGTCATTATCTTATACCTTATACATAAGATGACAGATAAACTAGCTCATTACTTACCTAGCAGGGCACTGAGTATTTTGTTATGTGACAAGGTATGTTGAAAAAGAGTTGTTTTTTTTAACATACTTGCTAACACAAGCACTTGCTGCTGCAACTATTAATTTTTGAGTGAAAAGCAAAAAGTGAAGGAGTTCAAGTATCTCGGGGTTTTGTTCACGAGTGAGGGGAGAATGGAGCGTGAGATTGACAGATGTATTGGTACAGCGTCTGCAGTATTGCGGACTCTGTACCAGTCTGTTGTGGTGAAGAGAGACCTGAGCTGTACGGCAAAACTCTGTTTACCGGTCGGTCTAGGTTCCTACCCTCACCTATGGTCACAAGCTCTGGGTAGTGACCAAAAGAATGAGATCACAGATACAGGCGGTTGAAATGAGTTTCCTCTGCAGGGTAGCTGGACTCTCCCTTAGATATAGGGTGAAAAGTTTAGTTATCTGGGAGAGACTCGGAGTAGAACCACTGCTCCTCCACACCCAGAGGAGCCAGTTGAGGTGGTAAGGATGTCCCCTGGACACCTAACTAGGGAAGTGCTTCGGGCATGTCTGACTGGGAAGAGACTCCGGGGAAGACCCAGGACACGCTGGAGAGACTATGTCTCTTGGTTGACCTGGGAATGCCTTGGAATCCTCTCAGGAGAGCTGGAAGAGGTGGCTGTGGAAAGAGATGTCTGGGCTTCCTTGCTCAAGCTGCTGCCCCCGCAACCCGACTTCTGAATAAGCGGAACATAATGGATGGATGGAAGGTCAGAACACATTATATTATCTTGATATTGTAACAATGAGTTCTCTGGGCACTAAAATTCAACTCAATTCAATTCAGTTTTTTTTTTTTATATATATAGCACCAAGTCACAACAGAAGTCATCTCAAAGCAGTGATCATAAACATTCATGTACAGTAAATAAAAATATCCATCCATTATCTTTTACCCGCTTCTTCCATTTTGGGTCACGGGGGTCGCCGGTGCCCATGTCCATCAATCACTGTGCGAGGAGCGGGGGTACACCCTGGACAGGTCGCAAGTCCATCACAGGGACACACAGAGACAAATGAGACAAACAACCATTCACTCTCTCACTCACACCTAGGGACAATTTAGAGTTACCAATCAGCCTAACATGCATGTTTTTGGTCTGTGGGAGGAAAATGGAGTACCCGGAGAAAACCCATGTTTTCAACATGCAACATGCAAACTCCATCCAGAATGTCCCCCGGACCGGGATTTGAACCAGGGACCTGCTCGCTGAGAGGCAGCAGCTCTAGCAGTTGCGCCACCATGCTGCCTATATAAATATATAAAAATAAGTTAACACTATTTATCTGAGGAGCAGACTGAATTTAACTCCATCGCAGAACTCTTATCCTGAGAAAGCACAAAGGCAACAGTGGAAAGGAAAAACTCCCTCATGAGGAAAAATTATTTAGCAGAACCAGGCTCAGGACAAGCGGCCATCTGTTTCGACCAGCTGGGTTTGAGAGGAACAGGAAGGAGGAACAGATACACAATGGCAGGTCAAGAATTACATGTTAAGATAGAAATAGTATCAAATGAAAACGTTGGTTACGTACTGTAACCCCAGATTCTATGAGTATAAGCGTAGCCCTTTAAGGCTGTCGCTTGGTGGGTTTATCCCATTATGCGTAGCATTTGCACTGAAAAATTTTGTCCACGCCCACCTGCTGTGTGGGCCCTACCCGGTCCGTATAAATTATGTTAAGAGCGGGAAATCGGCTCCCAAAAATAGCTTTTTCTTCAGCCATTTAGGAGCTAGTGAGGCCCGACGCTTAAAGGGCTACGCTTATACTCATAGAATCTGGGGTTACAGTACGTAACCAACGTTCTATTTTGTATAAGCTTCGCCCTTTAAGGCTGTTGCTTGGTGGGTTAAGGGCGAAGCAGATGTGGGCCTCACCTCACTGGGTCCATTCGAACACCGTATGAAGCAGGAGCTTGCCCAAAAAACGTCTTGTCATTCAGCTCCCCATGTGCGTAATTACGCATTGCGTAATTATGTGAGCCATGCACAGACGCATGTTGTGTAACTTTGCGTTCATGGCTGAGCAGTATAGACAGATTAATAATAACAAATGACAGATTATTAATCAATGAACTGATTGGTAACAATAGTCATGAACTGATTAGTGACAATATAACCAAAATAACAGACACCACTTGTGATTGATAACACACCTCACACTGTGAAGCATGCAGACAGATGTGAGCTTCAACAGAGTTCCATGAAAACAACAATATTCATTCTGTTAGAGCACTAAGGACAGAATGTGTCATGGAACGGACCGTCACATCATGTAGATAAGAGCGAATGAATGAGCAGGGCGTTGACCACGCGGCCGCAGTGCAAAAGTCCTGCATTGTCATACCATTATGCAAGACAGTCGAAGATGCGATACCCCTGGTCGAGTGCGCCCTGAGGTTGACAGGTGGCTCTAAAACTGATGCTCTGTAGGCTTCAGAAAGAGGCCTCACACAGCCAGTGTGACAAGCGCTGGGTGGATAACGGGCGACCTGCAGGTGCATCTCTATAATGCACAAACAAATGTTGAGTTTGGCGCATTACAGCCATGCGCGATATGTAACACGTCAACGCCCGCTCCAGACAGAGAAGATGGCAAGATGCTTCTTCTTCTGATTTGTGGGGGGGAGGGAAAAACCTCTCCAACGATATTGTTCTTGATTTAAAAGAGCTCGTGATGTTTTTAGGCATAAAGGATGGGTTTGGTCTTAAATCAGCTGAGCTGCCCGTCAGCCTGAATTCTGAGACATGACGGGGCGACAGAGAGGGCAGATAAATCACTCACCCTCTTAGCGGATGTTAAAGCCAGCAGCAGGGCTGTTTTAAGAGACAAGAATTTAAGTGGAACCTGATCCAGAGGCTCAAATGGGGCTTTGATCAGGGCTCGCAGGACCAGCGTTAAATCCCACTGTGGAATAAGTGGGCGTGAAACAGGCCTGCGTCTCTGTATGCCTTTTAGAAACCGCTTCATCAGCGGGTGATTAAAAGCTGTTCTGTCTCCGAAGCCATCTCTTCCTGCCAATCACATGGCAGGAAGAGATGGCTGCAGCGTACGTTTTAATCGTACTGAAATGCCAACTTCCTGTCCATCAGCTGTGTAGAAAAGACAGCACGCCGCCTAATGGGCATGAGGTGGCCTCTACACCTTTCTCTGTACACCAGCGCTGAAAAACTGTCCACTTTGATATGTACAGCACTATAGTAGATGTAGCACGTGAATCCTGGATTGTGCGCACTACCTCCTGTGGGAGACCCATCCTCTCTAAGCGGAACCGCTCAGTGGCCAGACCCACAGGTGCTGGCCTATTTCTGGGTAACTCCTGATCGCTCCTCCTGCCTGGAGGAGAGCGTCCTCCCTCCATGGCAGTTTCCACGGGCGCCCCGACAGCAGGCGTTGTAGGGCTGAGAACCATGGTGTGTTCACGCGCTCGGGGGCCACCAGGAGAGCTGTCAATCCCTCCTCCTGAACTCGGTTCAGGAACCGTAAAATCAGAGGAGGTGGAGGAAAACACGTGCAGAAGTGTTTTGGGCCATGGGCTGTCGGTAAACGCATCCACCCCCAGTGGTGGTTCGTCTCGTGGTCTCAGGGAAAACCATAGTTGACACTGAGCGTTCTCTCGTGTCGCAAACAGGTCCACAGCTGCTTTGCCAAATTTCTGTCACGTCTGAGTCATCAGGTCTGGATGGAGAGTCCAGTCCCCGTGACGTGGGCCGCCCCTGGACATCACATCTGCCCCTTTGTTCAGAACACCGGGTATGTAAACTGCTCTGATGGAGAGCAGATTTTGGTGAGTCCACCACAGAAGCTTTCGCGCAATGTGTAACATCTGGGCTGAGTGCATACCCCCCCTGCTGGTTTATGTACGCTGCAGTCACCTTGTTGTCTGTGTGAATCAACACATGTTGATTCTGTAGCACGGGAGCAAAGTGCTGAATCACATTCAGCACCGTGCGACACTCCAAAAACATTTATGTGGGCTGATGTGTGATGGGGCCACAGCGCCCCTACTGCTTGAGATGGGCATGTCCCCCCCAGCCTGATAGCAACGCGTCCGTGAAGACTGACACGTGACGTGGGTCTGCTGACGGGGGCTCCCTCCAACAGAACCAGGGTGTTTCCCCAGTGTCGGAGGTCTGCCCTCACGGAGGGAGGAACAGTGATCATCCGTCTCTTTGTTTTACAGGATCCACATGCAGACGCACAAACCACCTCTGGTGGTGTCTCATGTGTAATAAACCCAGTGGAACCACTGTGTGAGCTGATGACATCATTCCTAACTGCTTCATGATGGAGACAACTGTTACCACTCTGCCAGGTCTTACGTGGCGGAGCTGGTCTTTTAAAGTGTCGATTCTCGTTTGTGATAAACGAACCTTCATGGTGGTTGAATTTAACTCCACTCCCAGATAAACAATTGTCTGGGCCGGGAAAATTTAGCTTTTCTTCCTATTTATGGTGAAGCCCAGATTTGACAGGTGTGATGTCAACACCTGAGCCTGCATCACTGCTTCCTGTCTGGAGCGTGACCGCCGCAGCAGGTCGTCCAGGTAAAACAAAACTCTCATCCCTGCTCTGTGTAACAGATGCAGGGCTGTCTCCACACACTTTGAGAACGTACGAGGCACAAGGGAATACCCGACCGGCAGCCTGTTGTACTGAAACTTCATCCCCTGAAAGGAGAAAAACGCAGGAATTTTCTGTGTTTTGGGATGATCGGTATGTGTTTCTCTGGATGTTGTTCAACAGCTGTCTGGTTGTCAACATGTGAAAACGGTCTGTGCATAATCGCCTTGTTGAAAGCTGACAGATCCAAAATCGGTCTCATCCCTCCGGTCCGTTTGGGAACCAGGAAGTAACGTGAGTAAAACCCTGTGTTTTTCTCTCCGTTGGGAACCCTGGAGATTACTTTTATCAGAAGCACTTGGACTTCTGCATTTAGGGATGAGATTTGGTCTGGTGATGACAGGACCGTCTCTATAACTCCTCCAAACGGAGGGGGTCGGGTTGCAAACTGTAACTTGTAACCATTTGCATAACACCCTGTCCATCCATCTGACCGGCGAGCATGTTTTAGCCACTCTGCGTAACGTTCGTGGAATGAACATGCGTTTAAGTGATGCGTCATGTTTTGTACAGATGTCACCAGTCTGCCCCTCAACCGCCGTCATGTGTCGCGGGAATGTTTTCCGCGTGTCCCAAGGTGAGGCTTCCTCGAAAAGGCTCTGAACGCGCCCGTGCGCTGCGTTCGGACCGCGGACCAACCTTCATGTACAAGTGGGCCGGTGTGTGCTGAGGCGAAGCGTGTGACAGCTGATGATGCCGTGGGGCTGCACGTTCGACGTCGCTGTGCAAACGTTGAGAGGCGGAGAGCATGACTTCATCTACGCCGTGCTGTTGGAGTGAAGGCTGCGAGCCCCGCGGGAGCACACGTTTTCTCTGGAGGGACGCGCGCCGTTCTCGCTGGAGGGACGCGCGTCGCTCTCGCTGGAGGCGAGACTCGTCACCGGGTTTGTTCAGCTGTCTCATGCTTATGCTGCCGTGAGCTGCCGAGCACTGAGTCATGGTGGGTGACGGCTGCCCGCGTTGCGGCCGCACGCGTTTTCTTCGGTGAGGCGTGTGTTGTTTTGCTGAAAAACGAGGACCTTCACCGGACCCGGCCTGCGGTCCCACATTTATACCGATGTGAGTCGGTGAGCGCCGGGGAGCTGTGTGTGCACCATCATCAATGCAGCGCCGTTTGGATGGAGGCTGTTTGCATCGCACGAGTGCGCGTTTGACACCGCTTGGGTGAGGATCGTGCAGCTCGGGTTGACAACGAGTTATTTCGCTTACCATCGTGTCGTGTGAGCGTCTCGTCATGTCTTGGAGCGACGGTGAGTTTAAAAAACCTTTATTTAAGGACACCGGCTCGTTATGTGTGGAGGATTTGTACGCAGCCGCTGTGAGTTCATCCGAGCTTACAGACTGGCTAAAAACAGACACTTTGGTCATTGAATGATGGTTTATTTCAACTTCGTGTCACTTTTACACACACCCTACGCAGACCGTCATTTTTTAAAATCTTCTCCCCCTTGAGCTCTGCGATTTGTTTGCCCAGAGCGCTGTCTGCAGGCGATCTCTGGGGAAAACGCTGAACTACAGGTTGCCGGGATGAAGAAGGCTGGTCTCTGACGGGCGGGGCTGGTGGTGGAGCTGAGTGAGAGACGCGGCCGTGGCCGTGGAACGTCGTTGTTCTGCCTCTGCTCACGACGGTCTCTCCAGCGGGCAGGGGGGCGGGATGAGTCGCGCGGCTTGATGAGGTGGCGCACAACCTCTGACACCTCCTCCCACAGCTTCGAGTTTGCCAGCATGGCTTGAAGCTGCTCCCGAACAGCGCGTCCGCCGTGATGGGGCCCTCCATCAGGTCTTTGTACAGTTTCTCCAGCAGCGAGGGGGAGTGACGGAGCTAGGTGGATCGTTGAATCATCATCACCCACGCTGCAATCCTGGACAGGCAAACCGTAGAAGAGGCACACATGTTGAGGACGGCATCGACTGCCTTACAGAGGGAGCTCTTGGTCTCCTCAGGCAGGTCTGCAGCCTCAAGCCTCTTGGACATGCTAAATGCTAGCAGTGCCACGTTGTTGTTAGCTGCGGCTACCTGAAAAGCACATTGATGGGCTCGATTGGAGAGAGTGGTCACCGTCTGGTCGTGCTTCCCAGGAGGGACAGGACGCTGCTCCAACCTGGACAGCTCCGCTCCGAAAGATTCCGCGAGGCTTGGCTCAAGGGGGGTTACCGAGGGATAGCCCCGCTCGGTGAACCCCTCCACTCTGGTGATGGGTGCGGACTGGAGACTGGCTCCCCCAATCTACCAGGAAAGAACCGTCTGTGGCCTCGCCCGTAGGACGTCCTGTTGGAACACGAGGCCATATGGATCAAGACGGTGAGCCGGAATGGAACCCAGTAAACAACCTTCCCGCCGGATCATCCGAACTGGCGGGAAAGGCGTGGGACGTAGAAAAATGGGGTCCCTTCATGTCAGCCGCCTCCTGGGTTACGCCGGGCAACCCCTGAGGGCGCCGTCGGCCGGGAGCGGTGTGATCGCCGATGCGAAACGAGGTGGGATGGGGTGAGCATTCACTCAGCCCCCCTCCACCAACACTACGCTCTCCAGGAGGGAATGAGCAGCGGGGGCTGCAGCTGAGCGCGCCTGTCCCGGAGGAACCATCCGATTCGCTCCGAGGGTTGGCGATAAGAGGAAAATTACAAGATGGCATTGTCCAGCGTGTAGTGACCTGTCACTGAGAAATATTCCTCGGCGCTTACCTTGAAATAAGACTGCTCGTCAGCTTCTCCTCGGGGAGGAGAACTCACCGGACGACCGGAGGTCGACTGCCGGGCCAAGTATCCTTAACAAAGGTTGGTCATCTACACAATTTTCCTTCTTTGTTCTTCTGACAGTGCTATTAGCTCGCTGAAGAAAAAATGGGAGCCGATTTCCCGCTCTTAACGTAATTTATACGGACCGGGTAGGGCTCACACAGCAGGTGGGCGTGGACTAAATTTTTCAGTGCAAATGCTACGCATAACGGTTTAAATCCACCAAGCGACAGCCTTAAAGGGCGAAGCTTATACAAAATAGAACTATTCAATTTTAGCAATTCATTTAAGGAAATGAGGTCAATTTGTCCTCCAGTAGTCTAAGTTTATAGTAGAATAACAAGCCAACCCTAAAGATTTACCAAAAAGGAAAGTCTTAAGTCCAGTCTTGGACAATGTATCAGCCTTACGGACAGAAACTGGAAGCTGGTTCCACAAGGGAGGAAAACACAAAACACTGGAAAACCAATAAATAAAATATTATTTATAATAAAAATGTTAATATAATTTCAGCACATTTGTAGTTTTTGAGAAAAAAAACTGTATTGTAAAATAAGTAACATCCAACTGATATATATTCTTAATTATTTGTGCATTGTACATCAAACTGAGCCATTGTCACAGTTAAGTAATATTCTGAAAGGTAATAAAATAAACAAATGAGCATGCATGTTTTTTTGTCCATTAAAGAAAACCAAAGTACCCCGAGAATAATCGCACAGGCACTTGAACATGCAAATTCCACACAGAAAGGCCCAGAGCAAATTTGTGACCTTGTTGTGAGGCAACAGCTCTAACCACTGCTGCGTCTCACTAAAGCAGACTTACTTAATTTAAACAAGACAATGGGATCTTATCGAACAAAAAATAATCAAAATGTGCAGTACAGTGGATAGATGTCCATCAATCACATTAAAGTTATCTTCTAGTGTTTCGTTGATTTTGTAACATTTCACTTTGTCTGCTTTGGACACAGCTGTTAGAAAATAGAACGTAATTGAAACATATTTATGGCCATTTGTGGCACAGATGTGTATGTTACTTGTGTATGAATATCTTTGAATTACTCCAGTAATGTTATTTGGTTAAAATAAAAAAAAGATTTTGTTTGTGTACTTCACTCTCCTACTTTTAAAGCCTACTATTTGAGGCTTTAAAAAACATGTTGGAAAAAATGAGACTGAGTAAATGATTTAATTATATTCTGACATTATTTAAACATTTTGACAAAATGGGATTGTCATTAGATTGTTATTTTTAGCCTACCAAAGTAACAGCCTTTTTTACACTTAAACATTTGTTTTAATTGTTTCTCTGTAAAGTGTCTCTCTGCTGCAAGATCTGCCTGAGGAAAAACTGGCTAGAATTGTTGATTGCCTTGAAGTGGTGAGAATTTCTTACTTCAAAATTTTTATTTTGCATAACAATTTATATCTGTATTATTTTTTTCCATTTTGTTTTAAATTGTCTATTATTTTTCCCATATGTGAAGGAACACTAAAAAAATGACATTTCTTGTTTTGTCAGGATTATTTTGAAAAAGGAGAGTACATCATTCGAGAAGGTGAAGAAGGGAATACGTGCTTTATTATTTCAAAAGGAGAGGTATGATAATTCCATATTTTTGTCAAACAAACTTCTTGAAAATAAAGCTTGTGACTTGATTAGATCAATTTTCAATAGAAAGAAAAATCATACATCAAAATAGAATTAGAACTCAAATTCTGCTATAGTCAGCAGTTGCTACTATAGATACATGTGCTACAGACAAAGCAAGGGAGGGTCCCTAACATTACAATTCCTGGTAGCATCTAAATGAAAAATAGCATGAAATGGTACCTCACTGGTGGGTAAGGAGCCAGAGATTGTGTGTGAGGTTGAGTGATACCAGCTAGATACAGTTGGATTCACTTCTACACACAATATGGGCTCTGAAATCCAACTCTGGAAGATGGGCGAGAATTTTTACTCACAAGCTCTAGATTGCATCTCAATGTTGAAATTTTTCCCAGTGAAAAAGAGGGATGATTCTTTGTCGTCAAGGTGCAGTGGGGAAGGTTCTAGTGCTTATGCCTGATGCATGCACAATAATCCAGGTAGAAAATTCTAAAAAAAAGTTAAATCTGGATGTGAGGAACGATGGTTTGAGATACAGCAGCTCAGACTGAAGAAGTCTTTCGGATGAAAGATGAAACGTTTCAACAATTTTTTTTGTTTTGTTTTTTTGAATGTCCAGAGGATCAGATTGAACTTTTTAAGAGGTTCCAGTGCTTAATTTGAGCTGGATCCTGCCGGAACAAAATCCAGGAACTCTCTTATTTTGACAGGGTGCGTTCTGGCAATGGTTTGCATGGATCCGGCAGCTCTCAGGCTTAAGGCCCCCACATACTCGGGCATACTTCACTCCACGGAGGTCTGTGCATACTCGAGGTAGACTCAACGCGGACGTCCGCCGGCCATGTCCGTGCAAATATAAATTTTTACAACCGTGTCCGTGTATTCTGAGTCACACAATAAACTGCACAGCGACAGACTGTTTTGTATGCGGCACCAACCGCTCTCTGTGTTCTGAGCACACAGTCGCAAGGATGCGCAGTGTGACTGCCACTCTCTGTGCAGTGCTGACAGATGTGCAGTGGCTGCCCTTGTGGTGAAGAAACGGGACTAAGCACCCAACTAGCTCATCTAACTTACTAGAATCCATTAGAAAATATTTAAAATGTTTCTTACTGTCCACCCTAACCCTAATCGTGAGGGTCTGGAGATTTCCCGGTGGGCTGGTCTGATGTGTGGGCTGTAGGGCCAGCGTTCCCAGTTCTCTTTTTTTTTTTCACGTGTCGGCTCCGCAATGTGACTTGTCAATCAGTCCAGTAGGCATGTCAGGAAATAGCAACAAAGTCCATGCTCAATAATCCAGGTATACAATCCAACATTTTTCAGTCAGGTCATCTGGACAGTTTCTTTTTTTTTTTTTTTTGTGCTGAAATGTCAGGAAATGACCAATTGGCGACCTCAATTTGTCCCGAAGGTAAACGCCCCTTACCTGCAGAGCTGGGCTGCAGCCCATCAGGGTGTACGCTTGAGTATGAAGAATCAACCGTCTGCAGACCGTACGCAAGGAGTCCGTGCGGCTCATGGAGTACACATAGTACACCCAAGTATGTGGGGGTCTTTACTAATGATAAAATTATGAACAAATATGACTGCCTTGAACCAATAAAACTTGTATTGGACTGGATATGTAAACTGAAAATAATTACATAAACACTCATTTTAAACAACGAATGACAACATGACTTCTTAATATCACATACGATCATTTGCCCCTTCAATTGAAGCATTTACACCTCTACCCTTAAAAAATAATCTCCGCCCCTAAGAGTGGTGGGGGTGACTGCCTGGAGGTTTAACACGTGGAGTCGGACAGTAAATTCAGAGAAGACTCGGTTCGGAACTGTCAAATAAGGAAGGAGGCCAGGGCCAGGGTTGCTTTTGGAGAAATTCTCTCATCCTCTGACATTATTTACTCCAAAGAACAACACTCAACAGGAGAAGATTTTTTAACCGGCATTTATACTTGCAAGGTCTGATTTCAGGACAGGTTACATACATAACAGATATATAAAAATATGCAGAGGCATGAAAAACAGTCACAGAAATGAGCCATGAGCTACATTATCTGCTCACTTTTATACTCCTCTCAGCTCAGAATTCAACATAGTTCAGGGGTGTCCTTCAAGCCAGCTTCAGTCTGTGGGATTCCTGTTTTCCCTCTGTCTGTTTGTGTCTGTTTGTCAC